GCGCTTGACAAAATATCTTTTTTGTTTTAACTAGAATGCTTCACAGATTGTTATTCTTAAGTAAACTTAATATCTAATTTAAATCAAAAACAAAATGTGCATCCATCAACCCTAAAGTTGTGGATGTGCAATTATTGGCTGAAACAGGCTTTCTGTTTTGTATTTCTCGGTGTACCAATCCCCTTCAGAAGATTACATTGTGGAATGCGAAGCCTTTTCTACTTTCTTGGTTTTAATTGTTTTATAGTTTTATTTAACACAGTGGTTTTTTATTATTAGCCCAAGGAAAGTTTTAGTCTCGAAATGGGATTTTGCATTGATTCACTATAAATGGCGTATCACTTTTCAAATTGTTGCCACCAAATATTATCACCCTGTATCATTTTTAATGAAATTAAATAATGAAGAATTTGCATGTATGTATGTATGCTATTTGCATTGTGAAAAACCAAAGGTACTTAGAGCCATGCAGTTTTAAACGACGTAGTCATTTATCTGAACATATGGACCTGAAAGTATGAATTTGAATTTCGAATTTGTTTTATTATTACTTCCTAAAACCTAAATGAAACCAAACTCAGTGATTTGAACGTAAGCAGTACCAACAGAGTTCGAAATAAAACATTTTTATCTCCAGCTTCTCAGAATGTTGCCCTTCGGAAAAAATGTAAGTTTGTCATTTTTCAGTTTCAATTAACAAATTCGGCTGTGTGAAAGCAATGTGTTTCCACGGCCGGAAATAAAACAATTTTATGTTACAAGCATCAACGTTTTGCCATTCACTAAACTCAAACATAAGATGCTTTCAAATTTAATCTGGAATGTTAGTGAGTAATAAACTAAGCGATTTAAAAGCAACAAACAAAATTCTTAAGATTTTGTTTTTTACCTTTTAATATGATTGATTTGAATAAGCATGTATTAAAATCATGAAAAATCTAATTAGAAATACTTGATTTTTTTCCTTCTTAATCTGATTGCTCAAAAATGCATTTAATTCATGATGTATTTAATTAAAAACATTAAGTAATTTTACAGAATTTCATAATATATATTTATATTTTTTTCGCTTTTTATACATACAGTAAATATAAATATAATGTTCCTATGTTGGTTTAAATGCATATTCCTTTAATATCGTACAAAATGTTTCGCTAATCCATCTCGCCATGTCTATTCATAATCTCTATTGATAAACCATGTTAAACTTTAATAATGCGCTTTTGGATGATCGTTAAAATCTGAACCATTTCAGATTTTGTTTCTTTTGTCATTTTTACCAACTCGTTTGTGATATTTTAATTTTACTTTAAGTTGAATTTAAATTTTATTATTGCCACCATTTTACTGCAGCTTGAAGCCCATAACTTGGATTCTGGTTTTTATGTACGTGCATACGTGTGTGCTTAAATGCGCCTATATACAAAACAAAAAGTAATGAATTATTTTTAAATATTAATGATAATTTTTTTAAGTTCGTTGTTGGAAGTTAAAGACTTACTTTGCAAGGGGGATCGTTTGTTTTTGATTTTGTTTATTTATTTACATATTTCGCACTTTAGAGCTATTTATACAATTAGTTATTTTGTTTTCCTACTAAACCTTTTCAATCTACGAGTACTTTGTCTGGATGTTTTACTATACACATATAGGTATAATATCACGAATTTGTAAGTTTTAAAATTGCAACCTGCATGCGAAAGTAACTACAAACTGTGCATTTGTTGGTGTTTATGAAAAAAATATGTTAAGTTAATATAAATTTATTACAGCATCGTGGCATTTATGCAATATTAAAATTAATCACGTAGATAAAAAAGTATAATTTAATTTCTATAACAGGCAATAATGTAGAATTTTCGAAATCTACACGTGCATACGTATGTATACATATTCACGTACAACACACATGTGACCTTTCTTCACTAAGTTGATGAAAATTTGTAAAAAAAGTACATCTTATTCACATTAGTTTCATAGCATTTTGCGGCACTTTAATGATTTTTAGTTGGGTATTTCCCAATTTTCCACTTAATATTATATATATATATATATATATATATATATATAAAACTCAAAAGTCAGTACATCCTAAGAAGATTTCAAAATCAAAGTTTAAAAACTAAAAGACGATCTGCGCAAACTGCTACAATCTCGAAAAAAATGCTGTTTTTTAAAAGAAGAGCAAATGGTCTTAGCTAAAATGCAAGGGCTATGCTATCGCATACAGGTCCTAACCATGTTTTAACTCGAAGAAAGGCGTACCCAAAGGTAAGTTCATGAAAAATTTAAAATTAAAAAGATGGAAAGTATTATAAATTCAAATGAGCAAAAATAAATATTGATCTCCTCAGTTCAACGCTTCAAAACAGAACTTGTCAAGAAAAAAGTGGTTTGAAGCCCGGAACCAAGTTGATCAATGATTTCCGAATATAAGTTCGTTCCTCTGAGACATTTGAGAAGCTAGGCCATAAATTTTGAAATAAATTAAAATTTATAAATCTTATAAAGGTTCTCAAATGCTTAGACCTTTTCCCTTATATATATAAACAAGAAGAAAAGATTCAAAATTAGTGAATTTAAAATTTTCCTTTAAACTTTATTTAATAGAACTAAAACGTAAAATCCTGTGCTATTGCTGCGAAGATAATATTTAATTTAATTAAGTAATAAAGAATATAAATGAATATTACATCCTAGGAAATACGAAGTGAAATTTAGAAAACATATATGCCCAGTTGTGGTAATTATTAACTGAAATTTGTACATAAATGCATTGGAATGCAAATTAAAATGCAAAATAAAAGAATAAAACAGGAGAATTTTTGCTGATTCCACAGATGGATCACGATTTATCAAGGGGCATTGTAACCTTTTCATACAATCATCAACAATTCGTTGTGAAGATGTAATTCGGATATTATAAAATTGTACAGAAATGTAAAATTGAAACGGGATTTGTTCAAATATGCGAAAGGAGGAAATTTACTTGTCATGAATTGTTGACGGTTGTGTGGAGACGTTCCATTTTCCCTTGATAAATCGGCATCTTTCTATGGAATCAGCAATAATTCTCTATTTTATTCTTTTTTTTTTTTTTTTTTTTTTTTTTTTTTTTTTTTTTTTACATTTTAACTGGAATTACAATGTACAAATTTTATTTAATAATTATTACCAGTAGTACATATTTACTTTCTAAATTTCACTTCGGATTTCCTAGGAGGTAATTCTCATTTATATTCTCTAAACTTTATTAATTATTATATATATATATATAATAAGAAAACTTTCCGCATACCATCTACAAGAAATACAAATTCAATTTAAAACCATATATGAAAAAAAATTCTTTTAGAATTTGAATTAGTATTTTAAATAGTGATTTCAAATTCCTGTTAAAAAAATCTGCCAAAAAAAATCTTTAACCGCAAAAACACCAACACCAAAGGTAAAATTTAAAAATTGAAAAAAAAAAAAAGCTATTCTCATTCATTGCAGATTAATCGACTTATCGAGGGGATAAACCAATCTACCATCAAGTAACAGCTAAATTACGAAAATGTTTCATCTTACTTGCAAGTAAGCATCAAATTATTTGCTTAGATTCAAACCACAAGTCACAATTAATACTCAATCCACACACACATATATATACACATATATATATACATATATATATATACATATAATTAAATTCAATAATTAATATATGTATGTGCATGTGTGGGTATTACTTATATATATGAAATTGGGTAAGAAAGACAAGCATGAGAGTGTATTTACTTTTTCCCATTATATTTTATATCGTTAACGTTTACTTCCGGAGACTTTTTCTTTTAAGAAATTTTAGCTTTTTTATATTATTATTTGAGTTGCTTCATTAGCATGTGTGTTTTTTTGTACATAGTATTGATATAGCTATTTTAAATTTTTGTTGTACTTTTTAAATAGTTTTACTGTGTAGACAGAGAAAAATTGATACGAGAACAATCAGACCGTGCTGGTTACTTTTTTAAATTTCCATATATTATTTAGTTTTTAAACTGACAGCAAGCTTTCTACAATAGAAATAAATTGCCTCACTAGTCACCTACGCTGAAAGGAGAATGATTCAGCTTCCTTAAAGGTTCTGAAATTGCTCTGGGTTCTCACAGAAATTTAAGGCATTATTTAACATTCTGACTTGTAACCTTTTAACAAGTTGTTGAAATTGAAACACTATTGATGAAGAAACTTTCCAGAAAAATGGATGAGAATATTAAAAAATAAATAATTAAGAAATTTATATTAGTATTCATTTAAAAGTTTAGTTCAATAGTAGCATTTTTTACTCTTATTTCTGAAGTGTTCAGTACAATTTTGACGAACTCACTTCCGGCAAAGTGTAAATTATTATGCAAAACTTTAATAAATTTTTGTTATCAATACACTAAAATTTAAATAGCAGAAAGTAAAATTTCCTTAAAAGCTAACATTGAATTTTCACTAATAATATTCACTTCAATAACGCAGCACTGTTATTCAAATACACAATTTTAAGCTAGTAATTGAAGTAAGACATTAAAATATCCTTCCATGTTTCGGGTTTAGCGATTTAGTTTGCTTTTAAGTCCGATATCTGTATTTCTTAATCTCTTTTGTATAATAGACAAATACAGATAATCTTCACCCACAGCAGGAAAAAAAATCACTATCAAACCAGACATCCGTTAATACTTTCTTTTCATCAACCTCCCTTCAACGAGGAAAGAACTTTGCACCAGGCGGACCAAATCCGTTCTTCCACCAACGATCGGAGGATTACTTTTGCATATCCTCGTCGCGTTATTTTGAAAGTTTCGGCACCAGTAGGTGCTATCTCTTCCTAACGATTAACGAAAAAAGAGGAAAGAAAACAAAAAGGAATGCTGAACACCTAAATTTAATCCGAACGACAAAATAGATTTGTTAAAAACGCACCGTTTAGCCAATCAACTGAAAAGGGGGAGGGACTTGGCTCTTTTTGACTCCATTTAGTGGTTTAAATCGTTCTCAACGAGTATATAAACCGAGACAACTTTTGTAGCAGCACTACGGATACGGCAAACCAACACAAAGATGAAGTTTGTGGTAAGTAAGCTAATTGAAAAACCTTGGATTATTTACAAAAGTGAATCGCCTTCGTTCTGTGGATATACCTGCTGGTGGGTTTGATAATCCAGAAATCTTAGTTAAGATATCTTGTAGTATTTCATAGTTCTACAACTGCATATAAAGACTGTCAAAAAACAGGATTTGGAAAGTCGCCTTTTATTTCTACAAATCGTTGAATTCCTTCCGAATTTTACGATCAGGTTTAAGTAATACGTCTGGTATTACTGTACTGAAGAATTTGCTGGTAGAAAATGTATCCATGTTCTAAGAAAAAGAACAAAATATTTCGAGATAGATAACTGAAAACCTTTGTGTGCAAAAGAGTGCAATTAGGTTTATTTGCAGAAGAACGAAAGATGGATGCTTTAGTATAAAATTAATATATGAATTTATATGAAAGACCGATTATCAAAATATGTATTTCAGTGATAAAATATCATAGTCTTCAGGATTAAAAAATATAGTCTGGCTTTTATTTATTAACTTATTTATCGGATACAGAATGCAGGAAGAGAAGAACGAATCGTTTGCTGTAGAATATCTAACAAATAATTTTGATACTGAAGAAGTAACAAAAGGAAGGGAACGAATGAATAAATACCGAAGTTGCAATATTCTATTTGATATCTAAACTTTTTATTCCCCCCCCAAACAAAAACCTGAATTTTAAATATTGTAGTTTCCTGAAAGTTATAACAGCCTCATCTTTCAAATAATTAATTCAAATATTTTGCGACGAATTTCAAAACATTCACGAGAATGTTCATGTTCTGAAGTAAACTTATGAATTCCTGAACTTTAATTTTAGACTAATTATTATATTTCAATATATTTTATGGTACAAAAGATTACAAGTTCTGAATAAGAGAATTTAATTGAGAGAAATGTATTCATGATAAAATTATTTCATTTTTAGTGATATTCTAATATTCTTTTACTTAGAAATTAATTCTAAGGAAATTATTCACATCTGCTAAAAATGTAAATAAGTTATAACTGAGAAATAATTTATAAACAAAGCACTTCAACAAAGTACTAATTAAATAGAAACAAAAAATTATAATAATTAATTAAATAAAATTAATTAAAATTAAATTATTTGCAGTAGAAAATCAAAAATAATTAAATTATTTCAAGTAACTCTGCTTAGAAAAAATTACTAATTAATGTTAGATACAATGATAAGAAGGCATTACAGAACATTCAATATACGTATCTTCATTTCTAAATAATGTGAAAACATTAATTTGTAAAATCTAGAACATAAAAAATAAATTTTCTATTTTTCAGTCATGGAATATTAGATAAATGCTTTGGTTTGGAAACATGTGCTAGAATTTGATGTGCTCTATAAAGCTGCATAGAAATATTTAAAATCTCAGTTTGAAAAAATATATAAAAATTATAAATTTATCTGAGTTAGAACTTAGTAGATACTGTACAGACAATTTTCTATTTTCCTATAAATCTACGCTCATCTCATCAAGGTAAAAATACCGAACAGAACTCAGTTCTTCTTACGGGCAGAACCAAAAATAGACAGCGATTATGTTGTTGTTGCATGTCTCTTACTTCTAGGATAAGTTAAGGCTAATGTTAGCATTATGGTTTCATTAAAAACAGTTTGTTACACGATAAACTCAATTTTTCTTTTAAAAGAAAGGAAAAGTTCATAAAAAGAGAATGCAATTCAAATAAGTGGGGAAAGTTAGTAACGTTCTTTTCAGGAAGCTTTTTATGCAAGTTAATGATGATTTCCTGAATTCGGCAGAGCGTTAAGATCGGAAAGTACAAATGTCTTATAAGTTACGGTTCGCTGAGTACTTCATTTCTGTCACGCGGGCAGTGAATTCGAATTTTACATTTTTGTGTGTGAAAATTTGTTGAAGTGGAACTATTTATTAAAACTTTAAACAGTACGCAGTTTCGAAAAGAATGCAAGCAAAAAAATGTTAATCTTGTAATTAGATTTCTAAAATGGAAATTTCATTATTTTTCCTGAAAATTTATTATTGACTGATTAATTTTGATTTTAATTTTAACGATTTTGTTAACATATTTTTGAACGAGAACGGTTTAAATGGATGTTTGTTTTAATTTTAACAGCCATTAGCATATCTAAATTATTTTGCTATTCAAATTATTTTTTTTCTATAGTCGCAAACGGAAGAGATTTATATTATGAAGATTTTAGTATTCAAATTAACTTTTAAGATAATATATTATTATATAAATGAATTGTAATATACCCGATAAGCATTAAAATCAAATCAATTATGGGATATATGAAATAAATGAAGTAATATGGTTAAAATAAATAAAAGGATGGTGAAAATGATTATAAATAAAATGCGTATATATATTACATTAAATTGCATTAATTATTTCTAACTAAAAAGCTTCTGATTTCAATAGATTTTGTTATCATCATTTAATCTTTGCTCGACTTGAGTGTATGTTTTGATGGTTTATATATATATATTATTATTCGTATAATTTTCAGTAAGTGTTCAGTAATTAAAGTAGAAGAAAAATACTGACAGGTTTTATATTTCGTACACAGATTAGAATTTAAAAAATTAATTTTCTGAGACTATGTGCGTGATTAATATCAAATATAAGGAAATATTATTCTTTATTTTACTACCCTGCATTTTCTATCTCCTTTCTGCATGCCTTCGTGGTGTAATGGTAGCACACTCGGCGCGTATTTGAGAGTTCTTGGTTCGAGTCTTGGACTGGGCGCTGCTTATTTTTCTTATTTCCAACTTCAAAAATCCTAATGACTCTACAGTTTTACATATTCATTTTAAGCTTAAATACATAAAGTTTTACTGAAAAGATAAAATTTTTTATGAAGATGAGTTTATGGGACACAATTTAAAACAGTAATATAAAACTTTTTTCAAATTTTAAAGTAAAAGAAAATTCACTTCATAACTAACATTCATTTTGGAAAATATAGATATTATGTTTAAAAACAGAGTTTATAAAATATGGAATAAAAGAGCTTTCTATAATGCAAGAGTGCCATTTTTTTCTGAAATAAAAATATATGGTTTAAGCTGGACTCTTTCTGTGAACTTGATATGCATCATATGATAACATCTATATGATACAGATAGCTCTCTTTTCTTCATGTAGCAAACTTTGAATAGCTCCTAATATTATTTATGTAAAAAACACAAATTTATTTTGTATTTACTCGGCATGATGCTATTAACACATAATCAGAATATAAGATGTTTGATTCGAGGAATAAGAACAGAGAACTTTCAGCGCAGTACATGTTTTCTCTCATTTTGTTCAGAAACTAAACAATTTTTAAACGAAAAAAATCATTTCCGAATCTTTCTAAAGATCTGTGATATTTACGTAGATTTATTTTGGTCTGTCCACGGGACGTGAAGAAGCAAAAGTTAATATTATTGCGAAAATGTACTGAAATTTTGGTTGGGAAGTAATTGATTTGATGTCATTCTCTTTTAAGGTATCAAAATGCCCAAATAATATTTTTAGCATAATTGTGACGAATCACGGAGTTTGAATTTACCAGATTTAGAAAACTTCTTTGATTATACTAGTTCGGTTGATAATTTTTCTTTTTTTTAAGGCACTTCATCTTTCCATCCTCGTGGTCTGCGCAGTGGGTGCTTACTCAAAGGATGTCGCTGAAGAGATCAAGGCAGCTGAAGTAAAAGCAGTGCCTGAAGCCAGAAGTGCAGATCTCGCCTTAGCTTTAGGTAAGATAACAATTAATTTTGAAACATCTGGTTACTTGTTATATTGTTGAAAACTGGGAGCCTGCATTAATACCACATTGCATTTTTGGTGGTAAATTAAATACAATATACTTACGTTTCTTTGCATTTTCGTCGCTGGTTATGAATAGAATTTTCACATTTAGTTAGTTATTAATAAAATTACCTTCCATATAACAATATTTCAAACTGGTTTTAGAATATAAAATTGGACTAAGTAAAAATACAAGGGAGTTTTACTAAGACTGTGAACTGTAATTACAGGATTACTAAATTTCTAAAGAATTGGCACAGCTGAGCTTGAGAGAAATTTCGTAAAACGGAACTAGCAGTGACATTTTTAAAAGCAAATAAAACTAAACTTTTATATAAAATTGTTTCTGATCATATTAGAAGAATAGGAAAATAGTTTTATTATACACTGAATAGCGTAAATTTAAAATATCAGGAAAACATACTAAATTTAACTATTAAAATTTATTAGGATCAGAAGCATAAGAATGAACTGGAATTAGACCCTTTATAATGCTCCTCAACAAGGAATTGAAATCATCTACACTTCTGCAATGCAAATGCGCATATTCGTATTTATTTACCTCTCCGTTATTAAAGCATAAATTTGAAATGATAGCCTTGTAAAGCATGAGTAGATTCTTCCGCACAATTAAGTTCATCAGCTCCCGACCGGTAGCGTCAATGAACATTCGTAGTTCAACTTAGGGCAATTCTGCGAACGGGCTAACTGCACGGACGTTTTCATACTTTGGCCCATGTATAACGTAGGCAAGAAAGAAGTTTCCTTAGAAAGTCTTTCACAAAGGCATTCCTATGTATATAGCCCTCTACTTGCTTTTCTTATTAATTAACCTAATCATCAGCAGTTCTATAGACAGACATTACACACTAGTTACTGTAATCATATTGATGAATCGGCTCTAATTTTCACAACGAAATTTTAATACTGGATAAAAGCTGATAATAGAATTTTTTGACAAAATTATTATGAGAATTTAGCCTTATTTTCAATTACATTATCTCATACTCGAGGATTTTTTTGTTAATAATAGATGCCATTAAAAATTGTAACGACTTAAAAAGTGAGAAGCATCTTTCATGCGAAACCACTGCACCAAGTGGCCATCTGGGCTCATTATGCTGCTTTTAAGAAGATTTCTACAACGAAATTTTATCGGTTACAAGTCAGAATTTTTTGTGCATTCTATAAGCTGTAAACTGTTGTTTACATTTCAAGACGATCTAAATTAATTCTTATTTACCATTCAAAGAAAAACATTCATATGACAAGCTAGGGGACAAAGCAATCAGTTTCGGCAAAATAAAAGTTCCATTCGTAGTTTTGATTAACATAAGACTTTTTAACTTTTTATTTAAAATGAATATTAATTATACTAATTCAAGTTAAAGAACATCTGAAATGTACCGGTAAAGGAATAAAGCTCTAATACCTGTAAAAGAATCAAAATAATAACTTATGTTTTAATGTTACAGAATTAAATTGTCAATTGTAGAGCAGACCAAGAGAGTAACATTTACATATATTATGTAGTTAAGTCATGTTTACATTTGTGCAAAGTTTCATAAATGTATTTAAAAAACATTGCAAACTGTATAAAAATTAATATAAAAATTAACCATTTCATTCAATGAAAAAAAGTCAGTGGATAACGTAGTAGGAATGTAAAGAAATAGTATTTGCTGCAATGCTGCAATTTAAGAAAAATTTTAAGAATTTAAGGAACAGTGACATTAGTGCATTGCTTTAAGTGAAACATCGTAAGCGAGATAGTATATAATAATGTCAATGCAATGTTATAAGTGAAATAATTATTTAAATTTACTTCAAGTGAAACATATTTAGCTGCAACAAGACGTCTGCAAATTTAATGGATGCAATGTCGTTGTGATTGAAGTATCCCGTTTCGAAATCAAGAAAGCCTTAAGAACGTGAATAAGAGAAATTTATGCACTAGAATATACTGAAGCCCAATGGTCACCGTGTGACCTATTACACGGTCTGGATCACAGCAGTACTACAAATAATAGCTGCGATCCCTCCTCTTCCTGTAACTGCGCCGCCTGCAGAGTATTCTCGTACTGACAGATTTTAAATGTTATATAACACGGCAGTCACGAACGCTTATGTCTTGCAGGGACTATAGCGCCCCACCCAACCCTGTAGGAACGCTGCTTTCTCTAACCACCATACCGAACGGATGGCACTTATGACGACAGTCACTAAATGAGAAATAAAGCAATTTATAAAATCATCTAGTCTCTCATTCTAGACCATTTCAGAACAAAAGAAATGATTAACATAAGCAATAGAAATACGGAAAACAATTTTATAGAAAAATATAAAAAGAGTGTATCAATTTAAAACTAAAGTGTAACAAAGATCTTAGAATTGACACAGAGAATCAAATTCATTTCTTTTATAAAAATTTCATCACTTGAATTCCGAAATTACTTATAAAAGTGTAATGGTAATAGTTATTTTCTTTCAGTAGAAAAAACAGACAAAATGCATTTACAAGGCTAAGATACAATTTATAGTTTATTTTAATAAAGGTTAATATGTTTATTTTCTAGGAGCAGGGAAGACAGCATTCAATGCTGACGGCTCCTATGAAAAGACTTACAATCTGCCTGGCAACCACGAAATTAGCGTAGGCGTTGGTAAAGACGGTGCTGGTTTTGGCTACGGTTATACCACAGATGAACGCGGTAATGTCGGTGGCATTCCAGGGCTTTCTCCATTAGCCCTTGCTGAAGCCCATGACGTTAGCGCAAGAGGTTATGGATACGGACATGGTCACGGAGGTCATGGTGGAGGACATGGACATGGCCATGGTGGAGGACATGGGCACGGGCATGGTGATGGACATGGTCATGGTAAGAATTTAAGAAATACATATGTAGCATAAATGGTATAAAGATCAAAGCTATTAAATATAATTTACTTCTTATCATTTTTAAAGCTTTGAATTTAAAATTATGCGTCTGATTTTAGAAAACTAAATAATTCAAGCATAGAGACAATAAAACTAGTGTTTTAGAATATTATGAGAACATGTATATCTTTTAATATTACTGCAAAATATTAATAAAACTAGAAAGTTAAACTATCGTCAAAATATGAATATATTTTAAAATAACATGCTTATTCTCTTTTTATAAACTACGTTTAGTTACTTTTTAATTAATAATAAAAATCATATTCATTCTAGGTCATGGTCACGGTCATGGTCATGGTCATGGTCATGGTCATGGTCATGGACATGGGCATGGGCACGGACACGGACATGGGCACGGTCACGGTCATGGACATGGACATGGGCACGGTAAGGAAAATGCAATCACTAATTCTCTCAGACTTTTCATTAATCATACACATATATCCGATCTTTAAGTAAGCTCTGGGTGAAAAGGTCGAAATAATTTAATTTTTAATTGCAAAATTATTTATAAGTTATCAAACAAGAGAAATTGCAACTGATATGTTACTTGCTTTCAAGGCCTGTTAGGAATTTGCGTTAGTGTTACTATTACTAACACTTAAGATAAAAAAAATTATATAGCTTTATTGAACCTGCAAATTTCCTTCTGTATCCTGATTAAACAGAACTTAGGTTTGATTTTCTCGTACGTTTAAAAAGAAATTTTAATATCAGTAATATATTATTTAAACTTTCTCGTTTACCTAGGACATGGACATGGTCATGGTCATGGTCACGGACATGGGCATGGGCATGGACATGGACATGGACACGGACACGGACATGGACATGGACATGGTCACGGGCACGGCCACGGCCACGGTAAGCATTACACGTTTAAGTTCCATATGAAATATTTCGAAACTGAAAGTGTATTGTAGTTATACTAAGTGTTTGCTTTTGAATTTCTTAATACATAAACGATAATTAAAACAAATAATTTGTTTTAAAATATTGTAATAAATTTTTTCATTTAGGACATGGTCACGGACATGGTCATGGGCATGGTCACGGGCACGGTCATGGTCACGGTCACGGTCATGGTCACGGCCATGGTAAAAAAATTTTGATTATTCTTTTACAACTTTAATTCTGGTTAAATTCTTAAACTTTAGATTGCAACTCTAAAATAAATGTATTTCAGTATAACTTAGAACCATAAAATCCCGCAGTTGGAGTAACTACAGTTTTTATAGTTTTAAGTCTGATTACATAGTTGTACCTCTGAATCAAAAAGTGTGATTAATAATTTAAACTTCTCTGAGGAATTACAGAAATTTACAGGAAATTAATTTATAATTTTAAAACTTAAAACAAATTATGTGCAACTTTAGGCATTGTGAACTCAAAATAGGAAATAATATATATTTTGAAAAATAAATATAAGCTGTAGTATTATTATTTAACTTAAATTGAAAGTGATTTTTTAAGAAGAAAAATACGCAAAATTTTTTTAAATGCATTGCTAATTAGGATTTGAGTACAGCATTCACTTCTACATAGACAGGGCATAGTTTTCATAAAAATGCTAGTTACGAGTTGTATTTAACCTATGTTTACCTTTTGTTTTCATTATTTATGACGCTATGGTCAAGAAAGAAAAAATGGCAGATTTTAATGTATACTTCACTTTAATGATTACAGCATATTCCGAAGCATTCCATTTCCTTTGACTCTGCGTTATGTCTTATTTAATAATTCATAACGGATATAGCTTCTTCGGAAATGTTTATTTTTAGAGCTGAATAAACTCCGTTGTAAATTACTTAACATTGAGTAAATATAGTTACGTCATTGAGCTATAATTATTTAAAATTGAATAGATTTAGTTAGTGGATTGAGATAAAATTATATAGCATTAAACAGCCTCCTTGACTAGGGGACTCAGCAATAGTTATTTAGTATTGAATAGTCTTAACTAAAGATTTTGATACTAAACAAACTTAGCTATAAAATTTTTGGTATGTTCTAGGACATGGGCATGGACACGGACATGGACACGGTCATGGACACGGTCACGGTCATGGTCACGGTCACGGTCATGGGCACGGACACGGTCATGGGCACGGACACGGTCATGGGCACGGACACGGACATGGTCATGGACACGGCCATGGGCACGGACACGGACATGGTCATGGACACGGCCATGGGCACGGACACGGGCATGGACACGGGCACGGGCACGGACACGGGCACGGACATGGGCACGGGCATGGTCACGGACATGGACATGGTCACGGTCATGGTAATTAACTGTTTTATTATCAAAGATTATATTATTTTACCTATCATTTAAAGTTTTTAATCTATAGAAAAATTCTTCATACAAAATTCTCCTTATTGAAATTTACTTCTTTGTGTATGAAAAACTATAGTATTTATATGTTAATTACTCACCATTTTTTTTCATTCCGTAATGCGAAATACTGTGTTTTTTGGTTGTAAATTTCCGCAATTAATATCTTTTTATACAATTATTGGAGGGATTACACTAACACATCTTTGCTTTCTGAGAATCTGTAAATCAGTTCTTGAGCAGCTATTATCCTTCGTTACCCGAGTAATAATGAGTACTTTTGAAAAGTCTAAGTTTCTTTCGATAATAGCTATAACAGTTTTAAAATAATCCCTATTACCTTTAAGGCATGTTAATGCAAATGCTAATATTCGCCGTTCTAATATAAAATATCACTTTTAGAGAAGTTCGAGATAAATATTTTACAATATTTAATTTTCTCAATCATTGTACGCACTCTTTCTTTACCAGTAAAAGAGCTTTTAATAATATCACGGTATCAATACCTTTGCAATGTCTTTCTTAGGACATGGTCACGGGCACGGACACGGGCATGGTCACGGACATGGACATGGACATGGACATGGACATGGTCACGGACACGGTCACGGTCACGGTAAGAGTATAATAAATATAAACAGAGCATAGTTTAATATGAATCTCGTTAAGTGTTCGAGATTTAAATTTTGATAAATGTTTGCATACGAAAACATTTATTCAGATTATTTAAGCATTAAACAAATACTTAAACGAGTGTTTTCCAGATTGTCATATGTGAATTATTACAACCTCTTCTTTATATCGCATTAACCTTTTTATAATAATCTGCATCCTTGCAATCTAATATTTAAACTTCATACTAAAACCGAGTAGATTGTTGGATTTGGTATAGTACAGCTAATCCAGAAAGAATAAACAAGACAGCAGAAACATGATTAAAATTAATCATTGAAAACTTTATAATAATGCAAATCTTCTAGTCATTAGAAATTAATCATTTAATGCAATAAAGAAAAATAATTTTTTAGGATATTATAAGATTTAAATGGAAGCTAATCTATCTGTCAGGAAAATTATGTGCCATGTCTCATATTCAAGAGACGATAATATTATTAGCAAATGATTAGATTTATTCATGAAAGAAACTGCGTATAGCTTGAATCGCTGAACTTTGGATACTAGTCTAAGCTGTAGTTGTACTTGTGCCTTAATAATTAGGCTCATAACAAAAACCACTTAATGTTTCTTTATAATTCTTTTCTCAATCAATAAATTAAAACTGAGCTATTTTAATTTTTTTTAATATTCAGGACACGGACATGGGCACGGTCATGGTCACGGACACGGACACGGTCATGGTCATGGACACGGACACGGTCACGGTCATGGACATGGTCAGTATCTTTATCAGCACATGATATATATTCTAAATTAAAATATTATCTATCATTACCTATAGCTCAGAAGAAACTTACAGGTATTATATTGTTGACGAAGAACTGCATAGTTAGACACTGCAATACTGATTTTAGATCATATTGTATAAAACATTATAATCATACTTCAACAACCATTAGAAGTAAATGTTATTATGATATCTTACAGGTCATGGACACGGACACGGACACGGTCACGGTGAGTTTTTTTTCTTCTTACTGTAATTTATTTATGAGAACTGATTGTTAACGCTTAAACATTTTAGATTTAAAGAAATGAAAATCATAAAATGTAGTAGCTCAAGAATTATAAATACGTTTTTCTTTACTGTGCATCGTCTTTTATGTTAACAATATTAATTGTTTTGCATTTCTAGGTCATCATGGTTATCATCTTTATGGTCGCTCCGGAAACGGAATCATCCTTCCTCATTCCACCTTTGGTACCACATACGAAAACTCTTACGCCTTCCCTATTTCCGGAAGATCTTATGAAACACCACTTAACCTGGACTCCCAAGAAATGGCCTATTTGGAAGGCATCGTTAAAAACACTTTCGGAAGCCAATATGTTCCTATAGGACGTTCAGCTACAGGCGGATTAGCCGGATTTACAGGGCCAGCCGGACAGGACGTACCACTCACTCCAATTGCCAAATCACCTTGAAGGAATGTGATATGCTGTCCCTGGTACAACCAGAGCATCAAATCTAATCATTTAAGGGTAAGTAACTGTTTTATGGCTTATTTTCCCTAAAATGGGTTTACTTACTGTTTCATTTCATACAAACTTTAATATCTTTGTTCCCTTCGGTATGATTTTCGGTAATTACTGATTATATAATTAGGAGGAATTATTTGACCATCCTAAATCTGTTGAGTGAAAAAGTACAATTATTGGAGAATTTATTTGCAACTTGATTACTCTCCTAGATTATTTGAAACAAATCTCTTAGTTTTTTGGAACTGAGTTCTATAAAATGATATATATTCTTGAATTAGGTCCCTTGTGAATCAAGTATAAGAAAACATAATGATTATACTTAAAGTATTTTTAATCGCTAATTAAAAAATAACGCTTATGCCTTTCACTGGAATTTTTAGTTTAAACTGTCATGCTATATTACAACCATAACTTTCAACAGTAATGCCAAATTAATAATAGTAAACTTTTATTTCCCTAGGTCTCTTCTGAGTGGAGGGTGCCTCAGACAGATGACAGGCCCGCAGCCAGCAAAGAGCAGCATGTACATAAGTGGTCTTCCATGTACATACTTACACATGTGCATGCACGAAGTGCATAATGTTGTCAACTTTGTTGTCGCGTGCCAAGAGATTGAATGCTGTATTGAAGCATGGAAAGAATAAAATGTAATTTATGAACATACAAATTGTTAGTCTTTCTCATTGCAATACATTTAATTTAACGGTTTAGATATACAAAGCAATTTCATAAACGCAGAATTAAAATTTTTGCTGTCATTACATCATCCATTATTTTACAAGAATTACCCAGGAAAAACAAATAAACAAATAGAAATAAACATTTAATGATGTTTCAGCAATATCTCAAACGATATGATTGATAATTTAGTTAAAATTTAAATTTTATATAGCTTGTTATAATCTTCTCATAATGTATCAATTTTTAAAACATTTAAATTCTGTTAAAATTAAAAAAGGAATATTACTTGTAAATTTAAGAGAAAATACAGTTAAATCGATTTTAAATTAACAATGAAACTAATAGTGTTAAAGTAATTCATTTCAAATTTAATGCTCTTAAAAATACCACAATAGATACTTTAAACATTAAATTTTTGTTTTGTTACTGCTCTTGCATTTTTTACTTTAATAAATTGCAATCTATTTCAGTCTGCCACATTCTTACCAAACTGCCAACTGGTTAGAGCACTCGTATTAGAAAGTTACCACAATACAATTATGTAAAAAACAAAGTAACACTAAAATTTCAAAATTGTTATATACTAGTTTCGACACCAAGGTTAAATAGCTTTACTTCAAGGTACCATGTTATATCTGAAATTCCTATATGTTAAATGTTAAATATGAAACTACTTGCCGTAAAAAGGTTTCTACTTCCTCTTAGGGAGGAAAACTAAACTCTTAAGAATTTGCCAACTAACAAAATTTTAGTGATCGTATAGTGAAACGTGTACAGCATTTTTGCGTTGTGAAAAAAATGCATCCCGGGACCGCGCCGTGAGAGGATCGAAAACATAAAACATATACAAGATATAAAGGAAAAGTTCATATTAAATATATAAAGAAAACATACTGTAAGAGGTTCCAGATTAAATATCAGTTTATTCAATTACATCACAATAAGAAAAATCTTAACCTCATCTGAGAGTCTTTTTCATTTAAATTCATAAAAAAAACTTAAGGTTTGTCTGGTAATTTAAAAGAAAGGAAAGGGAAACAATTTAAGGCCTGAGAGTTAAATTTTAGATTCGACGTTGTTTTTTTTACTGCTAAGGACGTTTTTGAAAAACTTGCCTAAAGTTCAAACACACCAAAAAAAATAAAACTTATCTTGAAGGGACATCTTGAAGCGGAGGACTCGTATCTTATCCAAGCGTTGATGTCGGCCGGGCTCATCTTGACACTGGTTCTAAAAATGTAGACGCCACTTCACCACTGTAGAACAGAAACAGGAGCACTGCTGCCCAGGACGGCTATCCGCTTGGTCCTGAAAGTCCTATGTCAACACGCAGGTAACTCGTTCAAATTTCGCCTCTTTACCAGCACGCCGCAAGGAAGAGGGTTTTCAGCTTCAGGTCAGAAACGTTTTTCCTAGGCAATTACGGCTCGCCTGTTCTTACTCATCCCAAGAGCAAGCTTCACGAGTAACGTCCCAAGTAAGTTCCACCCGCCAGTCAGTAAGAGAGAGAATCCTACTCGAATTTCCTTCAAGCCAGTTTTCAAGAGCAACGTCCACAAGTCCAGCAAGCCCGAAAGTCAGCGAGTCCAAGAGTGAGTGCGTAAGAGAGTGAATCCAACTCGAATTTCCTTCGTCTCCTTCACAAACGCGGGCTCCCACTATGGCTTCACTTATCGCCCCCTTAATTATGGCAAAATCTTCGTTTTCAACCCCTGAATGCGGAAATAAGGGTGATCGCGCATGCGCGCCCTTCTTCACTTAGCCAACAACCGGACCCTCAATCGCCAAAAACCTGAATGACTTACATTGAAAGACAAGTAGCAACCTTTGACCTTTCTGTCACGTACTTTCCTCTCTTAAGGTCAACTAACAATGAAAATTCTTTCTCGAACATTCTAAAGGACAAAGCGCGCGAAATCATGACTTGGCAAAAATTGCCTCCCTTTCCCTGCTTCTTTCACAATGAATAAAAGTTTGTACAAGATTTGCAAATAAAAGAAAATAAATAATATTCTTTTAAACTAAATAATTTCCCAGAAGCATCTGTTTTTCCCCAAAATTAAAGCCTTAAAATAAATAATTCAGAATCAAATAAAATTAAGATTTCCATAAATCATAAAATCATTCACCTAGTTTTTATAACGCTATCAGATAATTTCTCTACATAACATTCCTTTCCCCTAAGGAATTAAATTTTGGTTTACCAAAATTTAGCAGACAGACACTTCTTGAAATACCATGACTCATACTGTGCAATAAGGCTAAAGGATAACATAATGTAACAATATTTCACACGACTCCTTGGTAACAGTGACGTTACTGACACATTAAATTTCAAGTCCAAAATGTGCAAGTAAAACAACAAGATTAATCAAAGCAATTACTAATTAAAATACTCAAGGAAGATCATCAAAAACAATTAATCAAAAACATCAATTAAATCACTTAATTAATTAAACCTAGAAATACTCAGAACACATACAAAAATAAAAATAAAAATAAGGCGTTAATCACAAACAAAATATGTCTAAGATCAATCAATAATGACAAAAAGAATTTCTCTTTTTTTTTTTTTCAGTTCATTACATCACACTAGTGTTGCAGTCTCTGTGTGGCCACATTTCTGAACGTTTATTTATCTATTCATTCACCCCTTTTTTTTTCTTTCTTTCAGTCCATTAATGTAAACAATTTCACCTAAGGTCGAACACATTCTACTATTGTGACAATTTCTGCTGAGCACAATCATGGAGTACATTAAATGAGTACGGAGTTGTCAATGCAAGCGAGGGAAAACCCTGTAGTTAGAAATCATTGTGTTAACAACTCCCCCCTGCAGCCTTCAACGCGAGAAAGTGAAAGCAACCAACCCCGGTAATGTGAACTCAGCACAATACCCCTTAGTAGAGGATCACAATGCTCGAAAAACACAAACAGCTGACTGACCGTTTAGTAGAATACAAGCCAAGAAACTTGACCTTAAAAGAAACCAGATTTCACCCTCCTACGTCTCACCTTCGACCAAGGAAGAACAATCACTCTTTCAAAGTTGAAGAAGACTTTATCTGTCAATTTTTCCCTTACGATAGAAATGCCACTGAATGTGTTCGGATACTCACACCCGAAGAAAGAAATAATCTAATCCAATTGTTCACACCAAAAAAAAAAAAAAAAATGAAATAAATAAAATAAGATAATTAACGCGCCGCAGATACATAAAATACATTCCTGAGAAAATAAACACACTAATAATTCAAACAATTCCAAATAAAATATGTCACATGAACGTATTCAAACAAAGAGTAAAGACCCCCTAAGTACTACGAAATTGAATAACTTCCAGGAATGAATCCCAAACAATCACGTCTAAGAACAGAAGCGGCCTGATCAGGGCCAAGCATTAGAAAAGAAAAGAACGTTACAACACAAGGAACCTCGGAACCAGCCGAAAATACCCCACACAAAAAATCAGAAAGATAACGTGATTGTCCAAAAATTCAATCCAACCAAAATCAATTCCGAAAATAGCATAACGAATACGCTGTGCAAATACCAATTAGAATTTTATCCAAGACACACACAAAATAATACTAATACAACCCTAATGCATATACAAAATAACGTTTGGCCAAACTGAAAAAGTCAAACTATATACAACAAAAAAAATATATATATCTATATGTATATATTTCGCTAAAGTCTGATTTACTGAGTCCAAAAATAAATGTTTGCAAAGCCCTACATTAGTAAGCAACAAAACCCTGCGAATCCCTACGTCTCAGGTTATAAGGAATATCAGCACATTGATTATGAATTCTCTCTGGAGCATCAGAGTTGCACGCCTGCAATGAAGGAAAGTTTATACGTTCAGGTACCTTTGTCAATCTATCCACATGTACTACCTGCGACTGCTGTGGGCTCGTAACTGACTCAATTTTAAAATTCACTTTGGTGACCTGTTCGACCACTCTAAATGGACCCTTATTAAACTTCGCAAATTTCTTAGTCAATCCAGGCCGCAACACAGGAGTATAAAGATACACCATATCCCCTATTTTAATATTTTTTGAAAAAACAACCTTGTCTCTAATCTTTTCCTGTCTTTCAGCCGCTTCCGTTAAGTTTTTATTTACTAAAGAGAAAACCCTGCGGAGTCTTAAAATTAAATCCCTTGAATAAGTGTCTGTGTCACGATAAGTCTTAAAGTCTGTTTGTGTCAACAAATCAATAGGTAAATTTAAATCTCTTCCATAAAGAAAAAATGCTGGGCAGTCCAGTAATGCGCTATGCCGTCCAGTTCTGTGCGCTAAAAGTGCGAAAGGCAAATGTCTGTCCCAATCTTCCTGCGTCTCACTCACAAGGTGGCTGAGAGAATTTATTAGAGTAGCATTTAAGCGTTCAACGACTCCGTCAGACTGCGGGTGGTAACTGGTGGTGGTGTGCTTAGTGATGCCTAATTTCTGATATACTTCTTTTATTGCATGTGAAATAAAATTCGAGCCCCTGTCAGTAACTACGTGTAAAGGCACACCGTGAGCCGAAATAAAAAAAGTTCCAGTTTTTCTATGATAGATTCAGAAGTAAAGTCTTTCAAAGGATAAGCCTCGGGCCACCTCGTAAAATAATCAGTGATAACTAAGATGTATTTATTTCCCTGTAAAGTAATGGGTAAAGGGACCAACAATGTCCATGGCTATTCTTTCTATCGGACGGAGAAGCCACAGGCATTCTCAGAAGAGGAGCCTTGTGAGAAGGCCGGTGACCCCTCCTTCCGATACAGGAATGACAAGATTTTACATAATTATGAATGTCCCTATACATGCCTTTCCAATAAAAGGATTTTTGAATACGTTGCAGTGTGCGATGGAACCCGGAATGCGCCGCCACCGGCGAATCGTGGTGCTCTTGCAGAATACGTGAAACTAAAGATCGTGGAACAACCAACCTGTGCAGTTTTTGCCAACGGGTACGTTGCTTAGCATATTC